AATTAGCTATCACTAGCTAGCTATACCAATCCAGAAACAGAAGACTAAATGAGCACATTACCAGGAAGAACAGAATCCAAACACGAAAACTTGCATTGTTCTTTATTGCCTGCAGTTATGATAGTAATGTATAAGAAACTGTAATATTTAATTTGAATTCATAGAAGATGCATGCATGTTGATGCTTGATGTGGAATCTCCCTAATGTAGACATCTAGATACTGATAATAATTATTATAGCTGTGACAACAACTGTACTATACGTTATGTCATACATACCTCTCGTATCTGTTCATTGCCAGACTTGACATTTTCAGTAGTACCAACTGACGTTTCATACAGTCTATCAATTTGGTGTGACTGAAAAAGAAATTAATTTCATTAGAAGCTACAAAATATGAAAAAATATTTGTTTTGTTATAATAAATTGCTATAAGCTTACCTGTTGTAAGACCTTTTCAGAGAATATTTCTTGYAGCCTTGAAATCTCCACAACCCTGCCTTCTATTTGTCTAGAAGTCRAAACAAATAAATCTCAGACCACCTCAGATAAACTTAACAAATTTAACAAAAACGTTGCAAATGCAAAAGTGATTTATTATTTACCTCACTTCATCCACCAAACTATTCATTTCTTCAAATAACTTCTTATTTTCTTGTTCAAACTATCCMAAAATAACCATTTTAGAATAACTAATTCTTACAAAAATCATTTCCATGTCTAGTAGTAAGTAAAATGTTACCATAGTTACCATTTGAACTTCATCTGGTGARAGTTCTTCACCTTCGTCTGCAGGTGGTTCAAAGCTGTCTTCAAAGAAAGGTGCTTGTTTGTCTTGAAAAATAAGAAAATAATTATTACACGTCTAGACTATCTGAGTAAAGCCAGTTCCAGCTCTCTCCTGCCTCCCCCCCTRAAAGGCAGACAATACCTCCCCCCTGAAAGGCAGACAATACTTCCTCCCCCAGTGAAAGGCAGACAATAATCATTATTATCTTAATCAAAAATTCATTATTTTCTTGGTACCTTCATTTGATAACAGAGTTTTCTGTTCCTGTTCTCCATTTTCAACTTGGTGACTTCTTTTTCTATTCTCTGGTTGTAACCTTGATCTTCAAATTTCAGAAAATCAAAATTATACAATAAATGACATTGCAGTATAATTATTGTAGTAAAAAATGTTTTTGTGACTGTACAATTTATGTATAGGAGTAATTACTCACATTCTTTTCTTATCWACAACTCTTTTGACTCGTATCGCTCTTTGTTCACTGTATAGCTTACAAACAACTGAAATAGCAAAGTAAACAAGAAAACAATAGTCTCCAGTCATGAAGGATGAAGTACACAGTAATATAATGATAGAGGCGATTTCCTATGACTGGGAAACAGTGATGACGAATCGCGTCCGTATTGTAACCACACTGTAGTCATATAACGTCAGCATCAGTTTCCCACTCATACGAAATCGCCTCTAACTATTTATAGTTTATGAATGTTGATATAACAAAAGTAAGGTATACCTTTCAGATACTTTTCCAGTAATTCAATGACAGTGTCTCTGTGAATCTTGACTTGCTCTGGAACTGTTTGCTGTGCCACTGARACAAAGGGAATTGATTATCAACCATAGATTTGATAGCTATTAAATTGTGAAATTGTTCATCACTAATTCAGTCTTTTTGATATTCTTGAAACAAACCTTCATTTTTCAGTGTCTTTATTGAGACATTACATGTCCTCATRAATGTTTCTGCATCTTTGTCTATCTGATCCCTCTCAGCATCAGTCATACTCGATATCTCAGAACTTATTGGATTGGAAGAAATACAGAAAATTATYATAGTGGAGTTTGGAAAATATGGATGGTTAACAAAATTGAAGGATAATAGTCAGAATGAATGAGTTGTGAKAATAATTTTGTACCTTGATGCATCAATGTAGTTTTTACGATGGTCCATCAAGAAGTCTCTCAATTTTCTSGTATTGATCAGCTGTTTTGTATAAAAAGTGTGGTTTCTTGTCATTGTTAATTTAGGATAGGTTACTAAAWTATCAATATAGTAATATACCACAACTAGATTTCGTTACATATATTGAGAGCACCTTTAATTATTATTATAAAAAAGGAGATTTCTCACCACATCTCGAGCTCTTTTGCCAAATTCTGTGCCAAGTTTTGACCGAGTTGGTAAGATTGACGACCCTTTGTCAGAATCTTTTACTCCAAGAGCTTTGTTTCTTGTGCGAATAGTTTTCACACTTGCTTTAAACAAAACTGTTCTGTCCATGGTTTTATGATGCGAAMGAAATTAAGAGAAAACCATAAAAATATCAGAATTACACGTATCCTTGTCCGCCATCTTGAACGAGTTAGATTTTTTGAACACTATGGGAGGGGTAGTAAAGTAGGTTTTATTTTGAATTTTATTGGACATAAAGTTTTAAAAAGTTTAGCATAAAACGCATTATTATTATTAAATTGAATATCTAACAATCTTTTATATCAAGGTCCGCCTAAAGTTTTATTTTGTAGTGTGCAATTGCAGTAATTTAATTTTATTATTACTCCTCCCCTACAAAGTATAGTTTGTAATTGTTACATTGCATGCTGGGTATATTTTGTCAAAACAAACATGGYGGAAAGGAAATTGGATGTAAACTTATTTGTCGTAAAATTAATCGCATTTATATACTTAATTACTACAAAATACACAGCTCAAGCAAGTAATATAGATTATAGTTGTTATGATGAATCATGTGGAAGAAAATATCACCCCAGAGGACCTTTGATAAATTGTACATTCGTGTAAGTGCTATGCTAGAATGCTTGTCTAAGCTTGTGGAAAGCWGCTAGTTGACACTGTTCCTGTGTTTCAATTTATAGGCCAAGAGATTTCCTGGATTGCGAAACAGTACAAGATCTTGCCGGTAATGCGACTAAGAAGCAAGAGTTGGGTTATGGATGTGTGAAAGTAAGTTTCTGCTCCGTGCGCCATCTTGAAAGGTCTCTTTGCCTTTTCATTGAGGCGAGACAACTATAACGAGCTTACAATGATGAATAACTGTGAATTATTATTAAGTATATCTCATTACAAGCTTCATGCATCTTGTTGTCTCGCTTAGATGTAAAGGGGCAGCTTCCTGTACTTTTCAAACAGGGAAGAAAAACTGTAAAGATTATTTTGCTACTCTAAAGGAAAAGAGTTGGTTGCATAATGTCTCACAGACTTATATTCCAGTTGACATCTTTGAAAATATCAATGTCTAATGTTCCATTTCAGTTTGGAGGATCTCGATAYGAGGAAGTGGAGAGATCTAGAGTGTGGTGCGAGGTTTTACAAGGAATAGAATGTTATGGTGARAGGAGATTTCTGGGCCATGAAGAACCTTGTATCAAGTAAGTATCAATGATAAACCATTCAGTCTATTTCATGAGTTTTCATTGGAAAAGTACTTCTAATAAAAGGCCCATGTGTGTAGCCAAGAACGACTTTCTCATTCTGAGCCAATCAGAAAGCACCTCAAAATGAAATCATTCAGCCAAGTAAATTAAAAGAAATGTTCACAAAGGTTATGGGATGGACATTGGACTTTGATATTTTTTGTTTGATTCTCTTGATTAAAAGCAGGCTCTTGATTATCATRCATATCTTTTGATGTGCCCTTCTAAAAGTTTATTTCCTGAGTGCATTATSATTACTACAACAGAAACTAGACACAGTTCATGTTCTCATTTATAAAGTGATTCAATCATTGTCTTTATTAATTGGASAATTTTCTGTTATCCCAGATATTCAGGACATTACTTTGTCACGACCCTTCTCTATTCCATTCTACTTGGTTTTCTTGGYGTGGATAGATTCTGTCTTGGTCATACTGGGACAGCTGTTGGCAAACTACTAACATTAGGTGGTCTTGGGATATGGTGGGTAGTTGAT